GGGGTTGTTCCACTAACAGGGGTCTCTGGAGCGTTCCGGTGTTGGAATAAGAGAGGGTATCTCCCGGGTACCGGACAGATGGTTGGGGTTTGTAGGGGATCCGCCGCAGACGGGTGTCACGCGGTGGGTGGATGGGCTCTGGGGTCGAACGAACCGTTTAGCCCTTTTCTGAAGCCTCTCAAGACCCTTTTTCTACAATCTATCAAATCAGGTGGAGGAGAAGGGATGGGGTTTACTCTGTCGCGTGGGTGAAGAATAAGAGGGTTAAGACACATACAGATGAAATTGGTAGCATTGTTATGGGTTTTATATTGGGTCCAATCTGAAGGAATTCACTAAATTAATCAAACTGTAGATACCAGAAAGACATTAAAAAAATGAGAAATTTCCGTGTAGACATGCACAGAGGGAATTACCAAAGGTGGAAAAAGTTTGGTGCTCTTACCCCTCTGCAAACAGCAGAAGCTGATGCCTTTGTAAAAAAGGTGCATTCCCGTTAGGCTTTTTTTTTCTGATTTGTGGATATAGATAGAACATATAACTTGCCTGAGTATTGATCCCCCAAATAGTTAGTATGTATTTTTTTCCTTTCGTTCATAAAAGGGTTGAAAACTTAGTTGAAAAGGGATAATATAAAGAAGTTTTAAACCTATAATAAAATATGTACATAATTATTATTCATTTAGTTTGTGTATTTACTAAATCGAATCCCTTGATCAAAAAATAAATAATACTGAAATCATTTCAACTACATACAATTTATAGACCATAATACAGTACTAAAGAGAATCGTATAAAAAACAAGCAATAAATCGACGGGTGTAACATTAATCTAAATTATTCTTGATTATCTTACAGATTGATGACGTTCTTCCTTTTTTTTCATTATTTAAACGCACTTTTTCATTTACTACGTTAGATCATTAATTTTTCTTTGATAAATTGTTATTTTTTTACCCCAAAAATATAGGGATCACATTTTTCATTTTATTACTTGTTATTTAATTAAGATCATTATATTGTTAATTATGGTGCATTTTTTTTTGTTAAATGAGTCCTAGAACCCACACTTTGATGCCAATTGTCTTTAACAAAAAAATATATATAGTGGTGTAGTAAATCCCACATACATATATTGTTTTGCAAAGTAATTTTTGCTTTTTAAAATTTTAATCAATTGACGTTGGATAGATTTTAAGCTTTTCACACCACAAAATTCTTAGCAGTGAAAAAATCATTTTCCACTAGCTTCAAGTCTTTAAATTGCAATTTACCCACTCTCACTACATTATGTATATATATATATATATGTATATACACGTACGCATATATATATATATTTGCATACATGCAGTTTCTCCACCTCACCACAGGACTGCATTTCAATTCAAAATACCAAGATTCTAATGAAAAAATGACGTGCAAAAAGTCAAACCCAAATCGCCATGTTCAAAATTCCACTTCGAGACTATTCGTGCTCACACATTAATAACTAACAATGCTATATATAAATATATATATTCATCATCTGCTAAGTAATATTACTTCCGTGATTACAACAAATGCCTTTTTTTTTTTAGCCACAAACCCTCTCTCATTACGAGAATAAATTTAATTGCTAAAACGTGATATAACATGCACTATTAAGGCTGATGGAGGGTCTTTATACAAGAAGTAGCATCTGAATAGCCTTGTGCTGCCCTGCACAGGCTCTACTTGAAAACAGATAACGATACCTGACACAGAACATGCAGCTCCATCACTGTCTTATTATATATATGTAAAGAGAAAAAAAAATTAAAGTTCAACAACGGTAAAAAAGAAGGAAACATTGAAAAAGTAATTCAGTGGAGCCTTCACAGGGGTCCCTTTCCCACTGCCATTTTCCACTTTCCGCAGCCGTAATCCGCCGGCGACCTCTTCTATTTTCCACTGTTCACTGTACGACGAGGAGCCCGTGGCGTTAAATGGCGGAGGATTTGTTTCCAGAAGAAGATAAAACACGCGTTGAGGTCCTCCACTCCCCACTCTTTCGCCTTTTCGTTCACCCCTTTTTTCTCCTTCCCCAGTGTGATTATCAGACAGGATGGGCTGCTCACCAAAGCGCCTGAGCGTGTAGGAGGAGGGCCGTCGGAGCGCCTTCAGCAGGGAGGATTTCTCTTGTAATGTACGAAAAAATGCGCGAGAGTCGCCTGAACGCGGCCGGAAATCATTTCCTTCCGTCGCCATCAAAGGGGTTTCGCGGAAATAATTGTTCTCAAAAGGGGGCCGAAAGCCTTGAAGATCATCCTGTAGAATAAGCGCACACCGCAGACGACGCTGGAGGAACTGGAAAAGCCACTGGCGGAGCGGGATCTCCTCACCGGCGGCGCGCTCATAGTGGTAAAAGTAGCTACCTTTTCCCCCGTATCCTTTCACAAAAACTAAAGGCACCACCGACGGCGACGCGTTTTGCTCATCGTTTTGATTGGATTCCTCATTGTGAAGCTCCACCACGGGGGGAAAGGTATAGTTACGACAAAACACGTAGAAGTCTTCGACATTACGACATTGAATGACGTCGACAAGCTCCATTGCGCGTGCAATTTTCTCTCGTAGCCGCCAAACTTTTGTCATTATGACATCGGCTCCATTATGGCAATCCTCATTTTCGATCTCGGAGTACAAATTTTCTTCAAGAGACCACACCGAGACCCCCTCAAAGTCATTTGCACCAGAGCTGTTCGTTAGTAACGTACATGGTGGGAGCTGCATAAAAGGAATTCTTCCATTAGCATTATCATCCGTGCTCTCCTCACGCTTTCCCGCTGGCGTGGTAGAGTCCGCAGGGGCGTCTTTTGTTCGCCCCTTTTTTTCCACTTTATCTTTTCCATTTTCTGCTTCTTCGTTCTCGTTTTCGAGGGTGAGCTTTTCAAGGCATTCAACAAAGAGCCTGAGCTGAAAGCCGCCGCTGCCGGGGGCGATCGCGTAGACGACGCGGCCCCCTCGCAGGGCGTGTTGGGCCCCCATCACGTAGCTCCACATCAACACCCTTAAACGAGAGCCCTGCCCGGCGAAGTCCTCGCAATTTCCCACAAAAAGCACATCCTCCCCGGCTAACCCCGCGCCGGGGTCGTCCCGATTGGTGAGGCTCCCGCAGGAGAAGAAGCGGTGGTGGAGAGAGGGGGGGTAAACCCGCGCCGGGGCGACCCGCAGCCGCCGGATAAGCCGTGAGGCGTTATCGCGCATGGCGTTGCGTTGGGTATGGCTGACCCCTTTGATTATAAACCTCCCAACCGTGCGTTGTGGGGGAAGGGTCAACCCGGATGGTTGGGATTTGTAACAGAAAAATGAAGGAGAAAATAACTAAAAAGAAAGAGAGAGAGAGAATTGGGAATAAACCCTCTCCTGTTATTTTTTTATATTAGCAAACTAATTATCTAAATACCGAAAAGAAATATAAGAATTCTGAAGGTTTACTTGACAGGTTTCCGCGTTTTAACGATTAACAATATATCCATACTCTTTTTATGAAGAATAGTTGTAGTTTGTGCTTTATTCGGTTTATCTATAAATGGGTGTGTGTGTATGGGAAGAATTCAAATGAGATAGATAAGAGAGAAGACCACATACAAATTAATATATAAAGAGTTATATTTCTATAATTAGAAATTGATGTAACATCAACATAATATCCATTGAAAACACCAGTTGAGTAAATGGACTGTAGACTTCTACAGGGAAGCCTCAAGAGTCTTTTTTATTTTTAATACCTTACAATGAAACAGATAGCAGAAATTCATGAAAATATGCTAAAAGAAGGGATAACGTAGGAGGAAAAGGCAAATATTATTACTAATACAATTATCACTAGTATCTTATCCTTGTACGACAATATCCTCCGTCCTTTGAGCATTTGCTGACTTGAAATCCAAATAACCCGTAAAAAGAGGCCCATAAGAAGATAGATTAAGAGGGCTATTGCATCCAGCATGTGATGTCAACGTAGGATGTGGAGGAACAGGCTGGACGTCCTCGCGAATGACGTTAGTAGATACCTCAAAAGAGAGACCCGAGAAGATCTCTAGAAGATCCTTTACTAGTGCAACTATCTTGCCATGATAAGCTATTTCCGAAGATTTATTTCAAAAAATAAAACAACAACAACCTATAAAGCGAATAATGAAGGCAATAACAACAGCAAATATATCGCCAGAGAGGAGCACTCGAAAGCATGAAATTTAATACACTATCCATTCAACTAAATAAGAATTATCAAATGTGGCTCCTGAATCAGAGATACTATACAGTGTATTTATACAACCAACAACAATAACAGCAGTACTCTTGGCTATTCACGTAATTATCTTCCCACTTTTCGCACTATTCCTCTCTCCCCTTATTCTCCTTCTGATCATTGAGAACCCATTCATGGAAATTTGTTGATGAGATGCGGTCAACTCTTTATTAAAGCTAATCTATATATTTTCATGTGAAATGGTAGTAGTTATCAATCGCAGCGATAGATAAGGTGTATTCCTAGTGGTGTTGGGATCGGGCGGCTTACCTCTCCTCGTTTTAGGGCAAAAGCCGCGTTATCAAAACTCTCGGAGTAAACGCCTTCTTCTACAAGACCTAAATCCCCCTTTTTGCTCGCGCTCGAGATTTCGCAAAACTCTGAAACGACTTCAACAAATTCCTCCACCGACCACGGTGTGAAATGACGCTTGTGATCTTTGTTATTATTAGGATTGTTATTCAAATCCTTTTCGCGTTCGCATTTTTCATGGCGGGAGAGAATAAACTCCGCGATCTCTATCGCATCCGCGTAGGAACGCGTGATGACCTCACCTTTATTTCGCCCCCGCGAGGTCGGATTTTTAACGCCGTTATGCTTAATAACGAGATGAAAAAGGTGGATTTTTCTAGGATTCGAAGAGGTCAAAAGGGACTCCTCGACCTGAGTTGGAGCCTGTGGCGGCAGGGAAGGCGGACGGCGCTCACCGGGGTCCGCCTCGCGACCCTGTTCCGCCTTAGCCCCGCCTTCCACCTCGCGTGTTCGTGAGGCCGGTGGGGTGCTCCCTCTCCCGGTCACAGACTCCTCCCGTGCATGTTTCCCCCCTGTCACAGACTCCCGCGGGGCGCCCTCTTTTGGTTGGGTGTTGGCCTCTTGCAGGGCGGGGACCCCTCCTATCACAGAGTCCTGCAGGGCGCCCTCCCCTCTCCCTGTGACAGACTCCTCTTGGGTGGGCTTCCCCCGCAGGGCCCCTTCCCCTGGTGGGGGATTTCCCTCCTGTTGGGTAGGAACCCC